TTACAGCAAATTCAAATTTAATTGACAGATCGTCTGGTAATCAGCTGAGCTGGAAGGGGAACCTTATACTTGGAACATGGTGTAATCACTGCAGTGCCTAGTTGATGCTCGATCGCTGCTTACGTTGGTAGGCACATACATATGCACGCAGACAGGACAAGCGCTAATATACGGGGTGTCGTTTTGAACGTATAAAATGCGATAATAAACTAAGTTTTAAAAAATATTTTTTGTTGGAAAACTTATTGATTTTTTGGAGATTATGTTAAAATATTTATGGTCGCTCCAATTTATGGTCGTCATTATTGCTGATTTGATTAGATATTTGAGATTTTTGAAGTATATCGTCGATATATTTGCACATATTAGTAATTTTTGAATTTTTGTCATGTTTGTTTGCTTTACTGATTTTTAATAATTTTGTAATACGTCGCTTTTTCCTCTTGACTCTTTCATTCGAGCAAATGACGCTCTAGTCAATTTCTCTCCAAACTTTTCTGTGCTACGGGATGAAGACTTTGACATCTATTCGCTTGAGATTCAAGGAAGTGAAGCGAAAGAACTTTGGAGTAAGGTGAAACAGCCCCTATTCTTTTTAATCATATGCACAGTTTGTATATGTGTGCGTATTGTTTCAAATTAAAAAAAATTTTTTGAAATTATTTCAATTTTAGATGCAACAAAAATACATATTTTCCTCGTTTATGGGCAACAAAATGCATTATTTTGGGATGAAACAACTTTGACCCTCTATTTTGGATTAATCTTTGTGGAGAACCCCATTGTTGCGTATTTATTATTTTATTTCACACTATAAAACTCCGGTATAAGGTTGCAAGTTCCTATCTCTTAGTTTTGTGTATTCAATGAATTTACAAATATAAATTTTTACAATGAGATGATGTCAAATGAATAATTTTTATCACTCAATGATAGCTTGACTCATAGCCTCAATTCGCCTCCGTGTGATATAGATGTGTTCAATGGTGACTTTCTTTCGTGGACCACCTTTAGGGATTTCTTCTCACCTGTCTACATTAACAATTTTCGCTTGAGCGAAATTGAAAAACTATGTCACCTTCTTAAGAAAGGGAGTGGCGAAGCTCGAGGTATAGTCTCTAAGATGCATAAAAGTATCAATTTAGCCTGGAAAGCATTGAAAGAAGCATATGATACTGTGCGTATTACGGTAAATAATTAGTTAAAGGTTCTATTCGATCTTACAGTTCTTGAAAATGAGTCAAGTTCATTTTTGAAAAATGTTCAGCGTGGAATTAATAGTTGTGTTTCCGCTATGACTATTTATTTGTTGCGTGTCAATCGAGGGATCCAATACTGGCATTTTTGATCTGAACAATTTTTTTGGGCATTACTACAATTTCCACTCAAGTCACTGGTTTTTGTGTTAATCAAACAGTTTCAGTATTGTCGAGGAAGCTGTGTTCGTTTGGTATTTCTTCATCCATAGATAGTTCACTACTTATGAAAATTACAGCGTTAGTAGTTTCTACCATTTCTGGAAATATTCTATCTTTTGGGTTAGTACTGAATTGTCTTCTAGGTTGCCAAATCTACGTTTGGCTGACACCCAATTATTCGACTGTCGACCAGTTGATATGTTATTAGGTGTATCCTAAAATTCCTTTACAGGGAATATTATCTAATATTTTGGGTTCTTTAATTGGGTACTGAATGAGGTTCCAAAGCACTCAATCTTGTCCCCTGCTGACAAATATGTGAAGAAAATTATAAAAATACAATTAGAAGGGATTCTAATGGCATATATATATTCACTCTTCCAATAAAACCAGAATTATTTGGTTAACCTTATCTTGGCCATTCTAGAGCAAATTTTCTACGACAATTCATTCGAAATGAGGCTTCTCTGCTTAGAAAAACAAATATTAAGCAAATATATGATGGAATGGGTAGGGAATATATAGAATTAGATCATATGAGAACAGTACCAAACCTTTCCGCAAAATCAACGGTTTGCTATTTGTCGCACCATGCAGTAATTAATTCAGAGAAACAAATTACCAAATTACGTGTGGTTTTTATATGCCTCTAATAAAACTTTAAATGGTAAGAGCTTCAATGATGTGTTCTATGTTGGTCCGACCCACCAAATAAATTTAGTTCTACTCATACAGAGATGGAGAGTATTCAAATATGTATTGAATTGCGACATTACTCATATGTATCGCTAAATTTTAGTAGATTCAGCACAAGCGCCTTATCAGCGTGTTCATTTCCTGGGTCCTCCCAACAATGCTATTCAAGATTTTGAGCTGAAAACAGTGACTTTTAGAGGAAATTGTGCTCCCTAAATGGCTATTCGTACTTTGTTCAGTTAGCAGATGACACCGAAGATAAATTTTCTCTTGCAGCGCATAACCTGCGAAAATGCATAGCTTATAAACCGTGCATCTTTCCAGAAATCAATTAATAGGTGTCCTATCTTCAGCTTAATTTGAGTTGCGGGAATGGACTTCTGCTGCCCGTTCTATACTAGAATCCCTTCCGACTGAACACCTAATAGACACTAAACTTCTAGATTTTGTTGAAGCCAGCAGTTCTAAGCCTCCCGGCATTCGTTGGAATACTTAATTAGATGTATTTTATTTTCATTTAAAACCACTTGCTAGAAAAATACAAAAGCTAAAGGAGAAGTTGTTTCTACTATTGCCAAATTATTTGATCCCACTGGGTTGTTATAATTGACGCATTTGGTTAGATCACATCGATTGGGATGATTTTTTCCGTCTACGACAGAGGGTATATTACATTTCTACACATTTGTTGTCCTGTAAAGCTAAAGTAGCTTCTATCAAGTCGATTTATCTTCCACATGTAGTGGTGCGGTCTTAGCCTCTGAACTCCTCAAAGTCACTATTGAGATTGATATTAGATTTTCAAAAACTTACTTTTGTACTGATTCTACGATCTTCTATCTTGGTTAAAGAAAATTCCTTTATCAACCTTTGTTGCGAATAGGGACTCTAAGATACAGATAATATAGGTCGGAATGTTTGGCATGACTCAATAAGGAAGGTTGCTAGACTTCCAGGAAACTAGGAAGATTCAGCTCTGTACTGGAGTTTCATTCTGTCAAATAGACTTTTATTTTTTCACAAAATGTTTATATTGCGGAAAATCCACAAAACATGAAAGGAATATTGAGGTTTCACCACAAAATTGAAATTAAGATAGAGAGACAATATTGTTTTATCCCAAAATTATACATTTTGTTACCAGTTAACGTGGAAAATATGCATTTCTGTTGTCTTTAAGTTTTCTTTTTTATTTTATTCTTTTTTATTCAAAACAATACACACACATATACAAACTGTGTATATGTTTTGACAGAATAGGGGCACCAAAAGAAAAAAATGGTACTGTTTCATGGGCTTATTTGATTTGAAAAGTCGGGGATTTACGTCCCCTGAATTGGCTTCTTCACAAATTTGATGGTACGAGCCACATTGCATCCGTTAAACTGTTATGAGTGGAGGTTACGGGACTTGTTCGCTCTTGATACGGATGTAGAAATTCAAACATTTTGTTGATATTTTAGACAATTTTTCATCGTTAAATAAAGATTTACGGGTTGTCCCATGCATTTTTAGATTTTTTACAAAATACATCCTTCTTCTACTTGTCAAAATATTGTTCAAGGACAATATCGTTCGAGCTTCGAACTGGAAAATATTTAATTAGGCTCAAAAAGCGTATTATGCCGAAGAATATTGTTTTTTTTATCTAACAATGTTCCTTCAATTCAAAAGGTTCGATTTTGCCCTTGAAACCAGGTGTAATGAGACTAAATGGTCGTTTAGTTCGATCACCTACTCTCTCATACTGAGAACGCCATCCTATTTTGCTTCCCTATAACAGTAAATTTGCTCGTATTCTTGTTAAAAAAAAGCATTTAATTTCCATCCACGGTGGAAATAATGGACAGTGAATTCTGGATTTACAGATAAACTTCATTCATTCGCAAAGTAATTAGTAATGGTAATCCTTGCATTTTAGAAAAGAAAAATGCTTGTACACATATTATGGCTGCTCTTCCTTCGAAACGAACAACCATAATGCGACCATTTGCCACTATATGTGTCGATTTTGATGGTCCTTTTGACGGATGTCCTAAGACTGCATTTTCTGACAACGGCGGCACTTTATTGCTGCTTCTCGAGAATTAGAGCGTGAATTCAAAATAGTTGTTCTTTGGACCATTAAGAGCTTTCGTGGAAGTTCATCCCGTCTGATGCCCCACACATGAGCGATCTTTGGTAAGCGGTGAAACGCGATAGGCAAACGCATGATTTAGTAGTAAGTCGACAAGATCTCCAACATCGTGAAAATTAGGTCGTGTCATTAATGTTTATCCCGGTACAGACGGGATTGTCTCCGATGTAAAAACATGAAATGGCAATGTGAGGCGTCCGGTGGTTAAGCTGGTTGCATTGACCAACTAGCTTTTTGTTTCCTCGCCATTTTTTTTATCGCAGCATGGAACATTAAAACAAGATGGTCGCTACTCTTCCTGACTATGAAGAAGATGCCCCCACGTCAGATTAGGACAGAGATTTCGAGGAAATGGTTGTTCCCTATTTTTGCACTGGTACCAAAGTTGAAGCTGCTGCTACCTATACACGGCCGGTGTGTCTCCTGCGTCAACTACTCCTGTACAAGCAATTACACCAGGTGGATGGACGCTCCGACGTCAAAGACCCAGTGGCGACGCAGAAATCAACTGTGGGCTCTACAGGTTCCAGTAAGCACCATGTCCGGCAATGTGGGCGATTGAAGAGATTCAACCTGGAGAAGAGTATCCGAACAGTGACCAAGCCTTGTGATGTTCCAATTGTTTGGACTCGGACCACTTACTTCATGGTTCCCGTAAAGATCCAGGCTGCAAGCAATGCAAGGCAAGCATCACACACTTCTCCATCCTTCTGCCCAACTTCCCCAACAAAAAATAGTAACAGTAAAAATAATAATACAAAGTATTTCATCCGCTTTATTGTCGCATGTAACTACGTTACATAGCCAGGCAATTCAACCTATTATCACAATAGGGCTAACTATCGTCGCTTAATTGGTCTCCGACTGCCACTAAATGCAATCCCAATCAGGACAGGCCGGTTTGCCCAATTCACACTGGCCTCGACCTTCGACTCCACCCAACGATTGCCGTCCGTGGCCGTCATAACCACTCCTAAATGCATATAGAGATATGGGGTATTAAGGGAGCTAAGTAATAAATGGAGACGTCTGGGCACTGAAAAAGGGTGTAAACATAGTATAAAGTATGTTCAGCCATGACCAGATTAGGGGGAATTAGAAGTGTTTGTTGGTAGAATTAACCCATGCAAGCCAGGATAGCCTCCTTCACCATCGGAGGCCAACACCGGGAAAGTTTGCCACACTTAAAATAATGAAGAAGTCAGCCAAATAGGACAGCATTGGCCGATTGTAATGGCGGCTTCATATATCCACATGTGGTAAATAACATCTGCAAAGAGAAAAGTAAAATATTGTGATTAATAATCAAATAAAAACGTTTGTGGGCATGTAGCCTACAATTTCATTTTATCTTTATTTTCGGTGAGGCAACACCATTGTTTCGCACATCAAACAACACGAAATCCAACCAAATATGTGATTTTAATGTACATATAAAATAGTACAATGAACGATCAAACCAATTTTGGAATTGAAAATATTCAAATATTGATTCTAATTATAATATTTGGGTCATGCATTATAAAGAAATATGGCGCGTTAAAGTAAATTATTTTCCTAACGTTTTACACAATGCTTTGAAGGCTAAAGAAGCTACATGTATATATTAGCTGACTTAAGTTGTTGGTACAGAAGCAGTTTGAAGTCTTCGCATAATATATTTTGTGACATATCATAAAGGGATGCCAGAGTCGCACTCCAATCCCGTCGGCATTACCCTTTATCATTAATACCACTAGCCATGATGCCAAGATGCTTATGTTCGCACACCTTTAGATCACATCGGTGGCCCGTTGTTTTAGTTTAGAAAGATCTTGTCTACATTCATGCCACATTTGTCCGTGATCAGAATTTGTATATTATACTGCCAAACTTGATTCTAGGCGCGGATAGGCTGACCACTAACAAAAGTCTTTGTAAAACAAAACAATAAAATCAATGTAGGGCTATGATACCATAGGATTTTAATTTTTATTTTCTTGGCTTAATATGTCAACTTTATTTGTTTATGTGTGTATTTTTTTAACAATAAAAAATTGTTCAGAAAATATTCAAAATCGGGTGTTTTCAAAATGCTTATTGCAACGTATGCATCGACAAAATCTACAGTTTTTGTACCGCGTTATTTGCCAGATATTAGCCCATAGATTGTTGGCAATAATCGCCTTGTGGCATTCCACAACGAGGGGATCATCGCTGGCAGAGCAGATTAACTGCTTCACACTCTGCACGGTTAACGAGGATGCCCCCAACCGAATAAGTGGGGAGTGTCACAGTTCGCCAGACTTGGAAAATGACACCCGGTCTGATAAATGACGTGACTTGGCAACCCGTCATTTCTCTTGGCTCAGACCATCTCCCGATAATAGCCTCTATAAGCAGGTCGCTCGATTTCATAACCTCTGAACGCCGCACTTTTCTTAACCTTGGGAAAGCTCACTGGTCAGAGTTCAGAGAATTTACCTTCAGAGAATTGCTCAACCCTTCTGATCTTGGGGTAGCAGAAAGGATTTTCCGAAACATCATCAGAGCTGCAGCCGCTCGCTATATACCTACTGGTTGAATACCAAATATAGGACCAAACTTCCTAGCAGAGGCAGCGGTATTAGCAAATGAGTGTAATGATCTCCGTCATACCAACCCTACTGAACCTAGAATCAATGATTTGACAGTGGAAGTCAAGCGGTTGGTACATTAGCATAAAAGAAAAAAGTGGCTAGACCATCTGAAGTGTTGCAACATTGGAACCGATATGAATAAGCTGTGAGCAACGGTTAAGTCGCTCTCGAACCCTGAAAAAAAGGATTATAGGACGTCAGTCACTTTTAACGCGTAACGGTGACTGATCCGAAGAGGTGCGCTGAGTATTTTAACCGACAATTTGTCGAGCACTCCGATAGCGACAGGGCGAAGCGACACAGTTTACGATGGGTGATGTTACAAATGTCATCGGGAACGCTAAGCCGTCCAAAGCGTTGGGCCCAGACGGAATCTTAATGGTAATGCTTAAACAGCTGGATACGCCCGGAGTCGAGTACCTAACGGAAGTTTTCAACTTGTCGCTAGCCACACACATAGTTCCCGAAGCCTGGAAAATGGACCATACTGTTTGAGGACGTGCAGAGAACAACCCTCCGGTCAAGTTTGAAACGTTGGATAATGAATTTAAGTGAGGTCGCCTTTCGCACGGAACAAGAAGTCCAAAGCCTGTTGAGTAAAACAGGGAGCTCCCCAAGGTGGGGTTATATCTCCGGAACTGTTTAACCTCTACCTTTCCGGAATTCCTCGCCCTCTAGACGGCATTGAGATCGTAACATATGCGGATGATTGTACGATCATGGCGTCGGGCCCAGTGGTCGATGACATATGTGAAAGGCTGAAACCCCATCTCGCGGAACTTGCCGCATACTTCCACGCGAGGAATATGAAAATATCCGCCACGAAATCAACGGCCACACTCTTTACCACATAGTCTGCGGAGATGAGAACCAGCTGAATTTTCAGGTCGAGATGAATCTAATACCGACCACGAACTACCCCAAGATTCTTGGGGTCACGTTCGACAACATGTTCAAGTCGTCCGCGTAAGCCACAGCTATATGCGACAAGATGAAAAGTAGGAACAAGGTCCTCAAGGCGCTAGCCGGCAGCTCTTGGGGTGCGGACAAAGAAACCTTGTTGACCTCTTATAACGCGATAGGTCGGTCTGTGGTCAGCTATGCGACTCCAGTGTGGTGTGCGAATACTAGTGCTACGCAGTGGAAGCACATCCAGACCTGCCAGAACTCTGCCCTGAGAACTCCAACAGGATGCCTCCTCATGACACCAGTGGACCATCGACATGAGGAGGCGAAAGTCCTTCCTCTATGTCAGCATAAGTATATGCTTTCGTTGCAGTACCTGCATTGGTGTTACCGAGAGAGTCATCGCAACCATCATATGGTGGATATAAATCCCCCCAACCCAGGCGTGTAGGAAGGACATTCACGATCTAGAGAGGGAGATCCAACGCTATAAGAGAGAACATCTAGATCAAGAAGCCTATTAGGCAGGTCTGAGTGGCATTAATACCAATGAAGTCGCAGATGCTATCAGCAGTTACAGGATAAATGCCGTCCACGGAGTCCACCCCCATTCATTCCAGCTGAAGAACGTCAGCAGACAGACAAACCAGGGTAGTTTTGGCGCAATTACATCCAGGTTGGTGTAGTCGTCACAATCGTATTGGGCACGAATTGATGAAGATGTGCCCAACTCACTCCAGAACATCTCTGGCTACAGCCCATTAAAGTAGCCGAATTTGTAATCCTGGAGCTGGGACCAGATTAGCAGAACCCAAACACTCACATGTACTACTGCTACAACAACAAGCAGTGTTTGGCGAATAGGCAATAGAGGGGAACAGTTGGAACAGTTGAATAAATTGTTGATCTGTGGTGTAGGCAGGTAGATCGGCCCTTGGAATAATATTTGTTGTTATTGTTGAGATCAACACAAATTATAACATTTTATAACAGTTATGATTATTCAAAATTTTAATCCTCTATAGGGAGGTACTTAAGACAGCGAGCCGATATTGTCCATTTTCCAATCTGACCTTACATTGAAAAAATACTAGGACTTGCAAAGTCGGAAGAAAATTCTATGATCTATATATAAAAGAATAGCGAAATAACTGACTGAAAATTAATGTCTAGAAGAAACGGCAAATGATCTCTCAACAAAGCAGTAAAAGTGGATTATTACAATATTGAAGCACAAGAAAATGCACGCTATGATAGCAAGTTAATTGAAGATATAAATAAAACGTAATCACTCGTGGGGATGTTATGATTTATTTAATTATTGTTAAGAATCTACTATTTCCTTTATAAATTAAAAACTAGTGAGATTTAAACACAATATATTGACAAATACTAAAAATTGATAATATTTGGGGAGCAATTTAGTGGACTGCAATTTAAGTTACCCCGAAGTAGGGCGATTTTAGAGCGATTAGTGTAGCGTATCCGAGAATAAAAAACACATTTTCAATTTTTCCGAAATCTCACACAAGAAAAAAGCACTGAGCTTACGTACCTTGTTTATTGGTGACGATGATTTGAGCAAATTGGTGGTGTAAAATGATGCGCTGAGATGCAGGGAGGAAAAAAGGCACGATGTTGATGGACAAATTATATAACTTATACAGGTTTAAAATTGTATATATCAATATCAAAGAACATCTGGAGAAGTACAAATCTTTACATTTGTTTTAATGTTAATCCATACAATTTAACCTACACCATTGAAAATATATCCTATCTTTCTGAAGTAAATAAGCTTGTTTCTCCGAATTAAGAGTAATAAATAATTTAACATCATTTGTGTAAACTAATAATTTCGGAACACACTATAGAACATTAATCGATTTAGATGTGATCTATCTTGTAAGATGATACCTATTTGGCTATATTGTATTAAAGCCCATATAATTGAGTTTATATATTAGGTGTTTATGGCTCAAATCAGTATAGCGTCAGTTTGATTACGCTTAACAAAACTTTTTTTTTACTATTGAAGTAAATTGAATTTGTTGTAGTTGAGAAATCACTATAAAAACCATGCGGATATGAACTCAGTAAGGATTATATTTTCAAACAGTTTTGGGATGGCACTTAATTTTGCAATGCATTTATACTTTGAGACATTTATTAGACTTGCGTACTTGTGCAAAGGTGTTATATTACACTTTTTCCAGAAAGCAGGAAATTTACCAAATTTAAATGAATAGTTAAACAGTTGAGTTAAAAAGAAAGCTAATGTGGCTGAACAATACATGAGAATTATATTGGGTATGCGGTCCGGCCCTGAACTTTTAATTGACTTTAAACTAGGTAAACTATTGGATACATCTTGATATTGCACAAAAGGCATACAAATTGACGAAAATTATTAGCAGTATTTTTAATGCTGAATTTTAATATTGAGGGCTTTGAAGAAAGGAGGATTTCTTTTAATATTAACAAAATCATAGAAGGATTCATGATTTAATTTTTAATTATATTTAATCTTGTTGGTTAAGATTATACGACCTACGAGGCTCTGTTCTATTTAGACCTAGCAACAGAGCAATTCGTACAATCTATAGATAGGGCTGTAGTGGCATTCTCTAACTTATTTTTGATTTATCGACAAAAATCGGTAACATAGAAACCCAAAATGTTGATATAAAAAAGAAGTTAAACAACATTGGTATATACAGGTAGGACTCAGCGATCACTCTGATTT